CGCGATGGGTCACCTCTTCAACGCCCAAGGGAATGAAACACCTGTTTGTCGAAGGTGGACCAGACACCACCCATCTTCTCTTTCAGGGATGGACAGGTGAGGACTGAACACATACCCACACCCACATTTCCAACTCTGCCAGCCTTCCGCCTCATTTTCTCAAGGGCTCCTTTTTCTGAAACTAGATGCCTGGACTGAACCCAGGGCACAGATGCAGGTGAGCAAGGTGACAGGCAACCGGAAGTAGCAGAGGGTGCCCAGTGGCTGGAGGAGGCATCCTCCCTGGCTGCCGTCCCCGCCAGGGGCCCCTCCCAGCCACCTCCACGCCGTCCAGGATGCCTGGGCCTGGAGAGAAGCCAGCCGCCGGTTTCCCTCTTCATTAACTGGTTTGTCGAAGAGGTGTTTCCTGAGCACCTACTACAGGCCTGGGATGAGTGGCTGGCGGCCCCTGCCCCTCCCACACCAGCAGTCAAGGATTCAGATGCAGAGTTACCAGAGGACCCCAGAGCTGCCAATTGGATAAGCGAACTTCCGCCCACATTCCAGCTCAACTTCAATCCTGAAAAACCGTTTGCAAGTTTCCTGTGCTCCTTTGGCTGCACCAGTGCCCCAGGGTGCTGAGGGCAGTCCAGAGGGCGCTGGTCCTCGCTCCAACCACCAACCACAGGAGATGGCTCTGGGAGCACCCACGTAAGGACCCGGCTGCTGCCCTGTGCCACCTCCAGGTGTGGGCTTATGGGAATCCTCACTCTGCCACTTAACTGCTAGCTGTGTGACCATATCTTAGTGACTTAGCCTCACTTGACCTAGACCTCCTCATGTGTATAGACAAGAATAGTTCTGTATTCTTCAGAGGGCTGTTGTGAGGATTAAATGAAACGATTAGGTAAAGTGCATAGCACAGGTATTCAACGCCCAGCATGGTCTCAATGGCACCCTTGTCCTAGCAGCCCGGCATCCGGATGCACAGCAGCCAGGTGTTGCCATTCTGCACCGGACCATGAGTCCCTGATCAAAAAGAAGGGAGTGGATGCACCGAAATAAACAAAGAGGGAGCGAGAACGGGCATCTTCTAGGTGACGGTGCAAAGCCAGCTTGGTTTTGGCTGCACAGCTGTTGGAAGTGCCCCTGACAGCTGAGGCTCTTAGCTAGCAGACGGGTGAGGCTTTGTGTGCCCTGGAATCAGGGGAGTCCAGAAATGATGCAGCAAAAGCAGAGCAAGCTACAAACCGTGAGCCTCAGACCAGGAACTTCTGTGCGTACAGAAGGACTTCACCAGAGAAGGTGGCCCCAGCTGTGCAGGCGCCCCCGTGACCAGGGCTGTCGGAGGGTGCACCCCATACAGGTCTGCCCAAAGGCCGCAGCTATGGTTTGCACAGCCAAGCACACCCATTGCGGCCTTTAAATACATAGTGTTTTACAGAATAAAAATGTCACATGTGCTCTCTTTATTCTACTATTAGGGGATGTGAGAAAGGAAAGGAAAATCCCGCCCCAGCCCTTAAAACTGAGCCCTTCCTCGTGGTTAGGGCTGGTCCCCCGCACCCAGCTCGAGACCTGGCACCTGGGGTCCTCGCTGAGCTCTCCGGGGCCAGTGTTCGTCCAGAATCAGTGATCAGCAGAGCCCGTGTGCTCTCTGTTCAGAGGATACTGTGCAGGGAAGGGGAGACCTCTCCCAGCACTCTTTCCCTGGGGACCTTTCCTCTTCTTGTCGCCACCCAACTCGTCGTGGGGGAACCCTCATCGTTTCAGCAACTTTAGCTCATAAATGAGGGGGGGAAGAACCCAGTACATGTGAGGGGAAAGATCTTGAAAATAAGTAAATATCCTGACCTGTTTGCTGTCGGCTCCCAGTAAACATTAAACCTGCCGCCCCCAGACCCTGCCTGCGGGATGCTCTGCAGGGGCTCCATGATCCATGAGGTGATCGCTGATCCACTAAGGGATCCATGATCCTCTAGGTGATCCACAAGACACTAGGTGCTCAGTGATCCACTAGGTGACCCTTCCAAATCTTTATGGTTATGCTCGTGGGCTTGGGATGTAGACGGAGGAGAGAAATCTTGCTCCATCACTGCACCAGCTGTGTGACCTGGACAAGTCGTTTAACCTCTCATGCCTCGGTTTTCTCATCTGTAAAATGGGGGGAATAAACTCTACTTCACAGGGTTTCAATGAGGAGTGAGTCAGTTAATATCAGTACAGTGCTCTAAGCAAGTCCGGCATGGAGGAGGCATCATATGATTTGCTATATTTTTGGTGCTGGTTTCAAAGTAAAATGAAACTCAAAGTTTTGAAGACACATGTGCAAACTGCTAAACCCTTAATGCAACTTATTCTTATCCTTATTATTGAGAATGGGAAGGGATGTGTAAATTACTATAATATAATAATATATTTATCAGACAAGAATTCTCCCTGCGAAAGGATACAGTAATAGTAAGGAAGGTAAGAACTGGTTCCAAGAACATATCTGTTTCTGTGTACAACTATTTTGGGTAAAATGATGTCACTTATTGAATAAGGAAGCAAATATTAAAGCCCTGGAAGTTACTTGGAAAATCCAGTGTAAACCAACAGAAGATGAAATGTCCCATGGGCTAAACCAACAGGAAGTTTCAATCAGTCTTGAATTTCCTCATAAAATGATTGAAAATGCCCTTTGTTCCTATTCCCCTTTGCTACCAATTTAAAGGAAAGAAAACTGGGTCAGGCATTCAACATGAGAATGAAAGGGGCTACAAAACAAGCCAGGGGTAAAAAGAGAAGATTTCCGACAGCACATACGGCCTCTCGAACCCGAAGTGGTTTGTAAAAGGAGCACAGCTCAGTCTTGGGAGGCAATTCTTTTGAAGGTCCAACACCAGAAGACTTTGTTTCGAAAAGGAGCAGAGTGTAGAAAAGCAGTTACCAAGTTAAGACCGCAGAACCCAAATGTGTTCAGAGCTCACTTTAGTTCCAGGCAGAGGGGGGCTGGAGATTGTTATCTGCTGGGAGTGTGGTCAGTGGTCAGCATCGCAGGGCTGCACACCCGTGGGCATTCTGTGCAAGGCTCTGCTAACCCAGGGCCTCCACGAAGGAGCCCCACAAGTAGAAAAGCAGAAACAGCAGTTACTCTCATGTGTGTTACCCTTGTCACCACCCCAACTGCCGTGCCCGCTCCCTAGAAAGACAGAGGGGTTGTGGGCCTGCTTTGTGAGCTAAGCTTCACCCTGCAAAGTAAGCCATCAATCTCCTAACAGACAGATGGCCGTCCACCTCAACTCACATCAGCCTCCCGAAGAGGTTGCTGTGCCCCCAAAATATAGATAAATAATTTGTACAAAATAGATTTCCAGCTAGCTTTGCTAAATAACAGAATAAATAAAGGAGAGGAAAGAATCCCCAGTCCAGATGGCCAGCGAAGCTTAAACCCAATCTAATAGATCAACAGTTCAAACTTTCTGGTCTCAGGACCACTTTGCACTCTTAAAAATTGGAATTCCGAAGGATTTCTGTGTATGAGTGTTATCAATACTTAACCACAGTAGAAATTAAAACTGTGTCGACAATAAGTCACTAGGAATTGAGAATAGAAGGTTCGATGGTAAACCAAGCTTTCGAGGGGTACAGTGATCACTGAGTTGCAGATGAAGGGCACCCACGGGGGGTGCGGGGGTGAAGGCTGGAGCAGGGTATAACATACAGATGTGCCTCCGAAGGTGAGAGATTTAGACACACACTTGGAAACAGACCAGACCCCTCAGAGAGTAACTGTGGTCCCTTGTGATTGTTAGCAGCTCAAGCAAAGGGTATGACGTCCTGCTGGCCCTTCTACATATGTTACCTTCAGTAATTCTCTTGGGAGTAGAAAGATGGTGCAGCTTCCAGTTTACAGAAGCCATAAATGGAGTCAGTGACATTAACTGAACTAACGCTAAAAGCTAGTAGACGTTGGAAAGGGATTCCAACACGGTCCTTCCTAATTCCAAGAGCTAGGCTCTTTCAACTGTCTTGTGCTGATTTCCTAAAATCGGCAATTTCTTTCTCCAGGCTCTTTGGTGGGTTGGTGGCTCCCTGCCCTGATTTCTCAGAGACAGTCAGCATTCTACCCTAACTTATTACTTTGGTGGTTTTACTTTCGACAAACATCTTTATAAAGTGTGGACACAGAGTACTTGCTCAGTGTTCTGAAATCAGAAGCTATACTTTTAAAATTTCAGATATGGAATGAAGTGATAGAGTTACTTCCTGACAAACGTGTGTTCCTGACCAGAGGGGACCTTCTCTGGGGCTAGAGTCACTGCCAACTCCTTCACGTATCCTGGCTCACAGAGACAGTCAATACGTGTATGTCAAATTGCCTACCTAGTACATGTATTGCATTTATGATATAGATAGATAGATAGATAGATAGATACATAGATTGTCTTTGATTTAAATTTGTTTCTAAATTACATTAGAGCTGTACTAAAGGAAAACAAGAATTATCACTCTTAATCTTGTAGACCAATGAGAGGTAATAAGTGCTGTGAGAAATTTTCTTTCTCCTGTAGCTGTTTTATTTATACTCACTATTAGCAGATACCATAGTGAGTCTTTCAATACGTCAGGCGCATTTTTCACATGGTGATGACCATAGCTGAGGCTGGCTGGTTGAGACCTTCCTGATAAATTAGCAACAAATGCATGGCTTCAGGGTGCATAAGGGAGAGTCATTTAGAAAGTGAAGGATAAAAGTACACAATCCTAAAATATGGGGGGAAAAGATGATCATTCTACCAAAACTTCTACGACAGAAGTTTTCCTTAAAAATGTCTGTCCAGAACAACAGCAAGTTTCCACAGTATGATCAAATCCATCAACACATTGTCAGATAAATTCCTGGGTACCAGGGGCAGCCAGGTCAGAAAGTGAGATGGAGCAGAGGGGATGGAGGAGGCTAGAGTGACTTTGCACCAGAGAAGAGAGAGGAGACAGGGCAAAAGAGCACAATCTTGTCATGTTGTAAGTAAGCCATTTATTCACAATTGTGGATGAACGTGAATCAACACTAGTTGTGAGGAATAGGAAGAAAGAGAGAATTGGGACTCTCAAATAAGCATTTGACAAGCATTACGTGAACGCTTCCAAACCTAGAAAGAAAAAAAAAATGAGACTTAAAAAAAGAGACTCAGATTATAAAATAATAACCATAAAATAAAATTTAAAAACTAACACACCATTGTAAAGCAATTATACTCTAATAAAGATATAAAAAAAAGAAATTAGAAAAAGAACAACAGAATAAATTTAAAGAAAGATTAAAAAAAAAAAAAACAGTCTCCATCTCTTAACACTGATACTCAGGCCCCTCACTGCTATCAGCCTTTTCATTTCAATGTCATCATTCTTTTTTCTTTCTCTTTGATTCAGAGATTAGACGAGCATATTAATACATATGTTTCCCACTTCCTGCCCACACACTTTTATCTGAATTTCTTCAAGGTCCCACAATGAGACAAGGGCAACTTCTTTAAAAACGGATGCAGTTTTCCTAGCCAGCTGTCGGGTCATCATTTCCTGTTGTGATTTATGGATGGCACAAATGTCCTCCGTCAGTCCACTGAGGTGGATCGAGCTATGGGACAGGTGCTGAGGATCCAGATTTGAACAAGGAAGAAAAGGACCCGTCTTCCATGGAGCTTGTGTTCTAGTTGAAAGAGACAGATGCTAAAGAAGGAAGCAAACATGAAGTTACCATAGACCGTGATAAGTGTCCCCAAATGGATAACACAGGGTCATAGGCTAGACTAGAAACCTATCGGATAAGACCGTTAGAACCAGAATGATAAGAAGGAATGAGCTGTGAGATGATTTGGGGAATGAACATTCTAGAAGGAATTGAAAATACAAAATCTTTGGGGCAAGAACAAGCTTGACCTGTTCAAAAAAAAAAAAAATGAGGACTAAAATGGCAGAAGTACAAACAGCAACAAGAAAAATGACACGAAGGAGAAAATATAGCTAGAGGCCGGATCGTGTAGAGATATCTTGGTCACAGCAAGGAAATCGAAATTTACAGGAGAGGCAATGGACGATCATAGGAATATCTTAAGCAAAGTAATGATAAAGTGTGATTTACCTTTTAGAAAGTTTTCACTAATCCTCTTAATAAATACACCACCTGGTACGAAACTCTGCCATAAATGGTCTTATTGCCCTGCAGTTACCTGGAGGTGGAGGAGAGCCTGTTAAGACATCATTCAGAAACTTCATTGTTAATAGATTTCTGATTCTGTCCCCAGCAAAATAGCTCTAGGCTCATACTTGGCTTGCCATATATTAAAAATCTGTTTGGAAGCAAACTGTTTTTAAAGTACCTTTGATTTTAATTAGCATTTTAATTTTAAGAAAGGATGAGAAATCTTCATAAGAAGCATTTTCCACTTGGGTGTTTAAATCTGTACCATAATGTTACATTAAAATCGTTCCTGAAGTGTTAATTAATAATTATCTTAGGAATATTGCAAATGTGAAAGGCCATTGTGACTCACCAGCTTCATTTGAGCTCACTCCGTTTAAAAATTCCATTAATTCTTGTTACCAGTGACAAGATCGTTTAATTTCTTAAATGTGACATTTTATTACACATAGGGCCTTCCATCTAAGTGAATTTATTGGCTGTGACAGGCCCTAAAACTCATTTTTATTTTTCAAAATGCGTTTTGTCGACTATTTTGCCTATCTGTAATTTGATCCATCTTTAGAATACAAAGAACTCTGACTGTCCTCTCCAAGTCTCCACTAGGGGAGGCGAAAAACTGAGCGCCAGGTAAGGGCAGGAGTGAGGAGAGTCAAGTCGAGGGTGGCTACGTGAACCTGCAATTGGGACCAGAGCTGGAAATGCATTTCTGTGCCCAGAAATGGCCTTTATTCTTTACACTTAGATGGCAACTGTGGGATGGACAGGATGAAATCACCTGGCATGTTAAAAAGATAAATGTGTCAATATTTATAGCAATTTAGGAGACATTAAGACACTTGGGTGGGGTTAAAGAAAATCCATGTCCTCCCAGCCTGATCTTCGAATACTAAAATCTTTACAACATTACTCCTGACGGGACGCCTTGGTGAAAAGCGCTAAGAGCTGCATTCACGTTTGTATTGAATCCACTGGAAGACTAGGCATTTTCTGCATTAAAAGGAACCAAAACTTCATAGAAGTGAAATCTCAAGAGCAAAGCCAAGTAAGTCAGCAAGCAGCTGGCCCAACTCACAAATGTCATGGCCACTAAAGTTCCATCTTTCCGTTTCATGTCTCTTCTACTTGCTAAAGTAATGATAAGGGTAGGAGCAGCTCCCAGCGATGGAGAACACGTTCTGTTTTCTGGTGCTTTGTTCTAGGTCTATTCCTTACCTTCTTTAGTCCTTACCTGTGGCATTACGATGACAACCATGTAGGCTGTGCAGGAAACCAAGGCTCAGAGAGATGAAGGCCCTGCCTCAGTCACACGGAATTCTCACCTGGGTCTGTCTGATCCTTCCCCCAGGTACCCTGCTGCCTGCTGGACCAAGGTATTTGGCATTTGAGGCAAATAGTGTCACCAAGCACTATTTAGGAAAATAGAAAAAATAGGGAAAGCATTTAGGAAAAGCACAGAGAGCATCACACTGGCAGTTCCGAGGTCCCAAAGGGCGAGCAAAGTGTCCCAGGAGGACTTCAGGGTTGGAGGTGATTAAAGGAAGGACACACACTCATTGCCACTTTTCTCATGGGGAGATGGGTTCCATCTGCCCCTCACCCTGGGTCTGGGCTGGCCTGTGACTGCTTTGACCAATAGTGGACAGTAAAAGTGATTCCAGGCCATAGTTGTCAGAAAAAATGCAGAATCTCCAGTTCAACTCAAATTTCAGATAAATAACAGTTGTCTTTGGATGAGTATGACCCATGCAACATTTGAGACATACCTATACTAATAGTTACTATTGTTCAGATGAAATTCAAATTGAACTGGGCATCCTATCATTTTCTTTGCTAAATCTGGCAGCCCTGCACAAATTTTAAGACTAGACTTTGAGAGAACTGGGAACTTCTGCTTTGGTCCCTTGTTGGCCTGAGCAGCCATGTAACAAGGCTGAACTACTCTGCTGGAGGGACCACGGGGTGCAGGGGGTCTGGTTGAGTCCAGCCATGCAGCTCACCTTGCCGAGGCTCCAAGTATGTGAGTGAAGCCAGCTGGAATGGTCCTGACCAGACCAGCCCCCAGATGAGCACCACCGAGCCATCCCAGTCTACACCAAGGGAAGCAGAGAATCACCAGCCTGAAATCGTGACCCACACAGTCATAAACCATAATAAGATGGGTATTGTCTTTAGCCACTGCATGGTGGGGTAGCTCGCCATGCAGCAGTTGATAATCAGAGAGAAATGAGAAAGAAAGGAGGTGGAAAAAGGAAGTCGAAGCTAAGGCCCACAGTCTCTGAAGAGCAATGAAAATCTCAAATGTCTCTGAGACATAGGAAACTATGCAACTGTGTATGTTTAAATTATTGTAGCTCGACCTTTGCTTTAGTTTATTGAGTGAAAGTTGATGACTCACCAATACCGTTTTTAAAACATGCCCTGGAACATGAAATTAATTCTAAGAACATTTCTCAGTTTTCACCTCTATAAGTCTTCCCTTTTACTGCGTGGTGCTTTTTGAAAAATAAATAATAGCTTGTTTATGAGCTATCAGCGGCTGTTGATTCATTTGCTAATTAATGATTCAGACAAAATCAGTGTGTAATATCCAGTGATAACCAGGTTATAATTATGAATTCTTTCCTTGTCATAAACCTTACAAATTACAGACAATTTTAGAATTTTTACTCATCGTTGGTTACTGAATAGACGCCTTGAGCAATTCCAGTCATTATTTCATCAATTACATCCAAGCAAGAAACCTGGACCTCTCTTGTGCTCCTTCTTCATTATCTCCCAGGACCAGTCACCACCTGTACATCCTGCCCCCAAATAGCTTTCAAATCCATGCAGCCCATCGCAACTATCTTAGTTTAGGACCAAGACATCAGTCTTGCCACTGGGTGTCTTGTCATCAACCTTTGAATAATGCCCCCCGCCAAGATGTCCACATCTTAATCCCTGGCACCTGGAAGTATGTTATCTTACATGACAAAAGGCACTTTGCAGTTCTGATAAAGTGAAGGATTCTGAGATGGGAAGGTTACCCTGGATAACCTGGGTGAGCCAATGTGGTCACAAGGGTTCATGCAAGAGGAAGGCAGTAGAATTACACTCAGCGAGAAGGGGATGTGGTGATGGAGCCAGAAGTTGGAGAGATGCACTTTGAAGATGTGGGAGGAGACCCGAGCCCAGGAATGTACACAGCCTCTGAGGCTGGAAAGGCCAGAAACGGACTCTCCCCGAGGAACACAGCCGTGCTGACACTTAGATTCTGGGAGTCTGACCTCCAGACTGTAGCAGAACAATGTGTGCTGGCTTAAGCCACTAAATTGGTAGTAATTTGTAACCACGGCAATAGGAATCCAATACATGCCTTCAATTCTTTCCCCCATAAGCAAGGTCTCTTTAGGTTATAAATTTGCTGAAGCCACTCCCTAGCATCAAACTCTCTCTAAAGGCTTCCATCTGAGATTAAAATAAAATCCAAATTCCTACAAATAGCCCACCAGCCCTGTTCCAACCCACCCTCTGCCCTGGCGTCTTTCCGTTCTCCCCTCCCTCACACTAAATAGGAGACCAAGCCTGGAGACCTCTTCCTGCTCCTCAGATAAGTCCAGGTTCTTCCTGCCTTCAGGCCTGGGACAGAAATCAGAATGTGTTTCCACGTCCTTTTTTCTCCCTAGTAGCATGGAGAGGCTACAGAGTGAAGTAAGTCAGAAAGAGAAAAACAAATACCATATGCTAACACATATATATGGAATCTCAAAAAAAAAAAAAATGGTTCTGAAGAACCTAGGGGCAGGACAGGAATAAAGATGCAGACGTAGAGAATGGACTTGAGGACACGGGGAGGGGGCAGGGTAAGCTGGGACTAAGTGAGAGAGTGGCATGGACATATATACACTACCAAATGTAAAATAGATAGCCAGTGGGAAGCAGCCGCATAGCACAGGGAGATCAGCTCGGTGCTTTGTGACCACCTAGAGGGGTGGTATAGGGAGGGTGGGAGGGAGACGCAAGAGGGAGGAGATATGGGGATGTATGTATATGTATAGCTGATTCACTTTGTTATACAGCAGAAACTAACATACCATTGTAAAGCAAGTATACTCCAATAAAGATGTTAAAAAAGGGCTTCCCTGGTGGCGCAGTGGTTGAGAGTCCGCCTGCCGATGCAGGGGACACGGGTTCGCGCCCCGGTCCGGGAAGATCCCACATGCCGCGGAGCAGCTGGGCCCGTGAGCCATGGCCGCTGAGCCTCCGCGTTCAGAGCCTGTGCTCCGCAACAGGAGAGGCCACAACAGTGAGAGGCCCGCGTACCGCAAAAAAAAAAAAAAAAAAGATGTTAAAAAAAAAAAGAGGCTACATTTCAAAACTCCCTTGCAGTTAGCTCATAGCGTGGTATTTACCACTCCAGCTCCTCCCCCTACGACCCTCCCTGCTCTGACTCTGCTCAGATGCTCTAAGCTATTGACCCCCTGGAGGCTGTTGAGCTACATCATCCGTGTGTGGCCAGGTGGAGCAATGCCCTCCACCCACACTGGGTTCTGAAGTGAGAAAGAAATGCACTAATTGTGTTAAGTAGCTGAGATTCGGGGGTTATTTGTCGCAACAGCTGGCTTTCTGCAAAACTTATGCCGGGGCTGTCACCCCTGCCTGGAACGTTCTCACTCCAGGTGTTTCCATAGCGGCCTCCCCAAGTCTCGGGTCAAAGGCCTTTCCATAAAAGCTTCCCGAGCATCCTTCATAAAGGAGCACCTCCACCCACAAGAGCCTGTCGCATTTCTTCAGAAGAGTTGTCATTATCCCCAATATCTTTTTAGCTTTTTCTTTACTTGTTCATCATTGTGTCCTCAATGCACCTGGCACAGAGTAAGCATTCAATAAATATTTGCTGGATGGGTGGATGGGTGGATGGGCAGGTGGGTAGGTGAGCGGATGAGTGGAGAGAGGGGTGGAAGGAAGGGGGGCATGAACACACAGGTTGACAAATGCAGGACTTTTAGGAAACTGCGAATAGGCTAGCATGGCTAGAGAGGAATCTACAGATAAGTAAAACAGGTAATGGATGTTCTTATATTATTCCAGAAATCCCGCTCTTTAATTCACAGGAATTAGGAAGCCTCTAAGGTTTTTGCAGTCAGAGGAGGTCTTCCAGAATTTTACTTTGGCAGCTGTGTAAACAGTATTTGGGATAGAAAGATTGCAGGTAAATTGACCAATTAGGAAACCACTTGTAATAATAATAGAGAATATGAATTATTACCATTTATTGTATCATAAATATATAGCAACCACTGCACTAATAATGTAGTTGCATTAGAGTTCATTTAATCTTCACAATAACCATAGGGGTGAGGTGGTATTATTATGTCTGTTTAATAGACATGAAAACTGAAGCACAGAGAGGTCAAGTAACTTGCCAACATCACACAGCCACTGAGCAATGGAGTTACAATTTGAACCCAGGCTGTCTGATGTCACGCCCCATGCTCCTAGTTACCATTTTTATGCTGTGATTACTGTTACACTCAAAGACAGTGGCAGCAGACAAGGAAAGAAGGAGATCCCAACATGAGGAAAAGCCATCAGATATGGCTCCAAAATGTGTAACCACAGCGAAAACAAAGGAGGGGTAGGATCTGGCTCTTTTTTTTTTTTTTTTTTTTTTTTGTGGTACGCGGGCCTCTCACTGCTGTGACCTCTCCCGCTGCGGAGCACAGGCCCCGGACGCGCAGGCTCAGCGCCCATGGCTCACGGGCCCAGCCGCTCCGCGGCATGTGGGATCTTCCCGGACCGGGGCACGAACCCGTGTCCCCTGCATCGGCAGGCAGACTCTCAACCACTGCGCCACCAGGGAAGCCCAGATCTGGCTCTTTTTAGTGTTTAACTTTGTCTCACACAAAATCTCCTGGATGGAGGGTTCCTTTTGTTGCTATTGTTAGAAACTAAGCCTGTAGTATTTTTTCTTCAGGTAACACACCACAGTGTCTTCACACGCGTGCCTTGCTACTTCTGTCAGTTCACCCAAATTGCCTCACACTAAATGAGGGGGGCCCAAAAGACAATTACAGAGAAATAGGCAGAGACCCACCGACAGTAAAGATGATGAATGTGTTTCTTAGGAAGTCCGAATAAGTACTTGGGATTACTCAAGCAATGTTAATTTCTCTGGGTGTGCCTCACCTTGGCCTTTCCAGTTCTGATCTTGGCCGTGGGTATTGACAAATCCTGAGCAAGGGTCGGTGCTCCAGACTAGGAGCTGGGGATATCAACAGAAGGTCCTGGGCTCATGGAGCTGTCTCTGTTTTAGGTCTTCCATTGATCTGATCACAAGTCCCTCTTTTATTTCAAACTGCATGTCTAGGTGTGTATGCTGCCTTGCTTCAATTCGGGGCCGACACTGTGGTAA